AATGAATTAAGTAACTAACTTGGAAAATGAGTAACAGAATAAACCCTAATAAAACAAACAGCAAGAAGTAGTTAAAAGCTAAAACTAAACAGAATTAACAAAGTCAAAGTTTGAAGATAATGAAATTGCAAGGTTGATCAAAAATAGGACAAAGACATATATGTTATTAGAAATTAAATGCATCATATATAAAATTTAAGAATATTATGGACAACTTTTACCAGTAACTTTGAAAATTCTGGTTGACAAAGTACTAAATAAAATATACTAAACTAAGCAAACTTAAAGGTAACAAAAAACCTAAACAACCCTACAACCAATAAAAATAAAAACCTTAAAAATTTGATTAAGTAGTTTAAAATCTTCCCACATTTACAGAAAAGGAAACAAAACAGCTTACATTCCATGGGGCAGTCGGTGAGGTCGGGGGCAGAGGGTAAGGAGGTGGTGAGGGACACGTACCCAGGAGAGAAAAAAGCAGGTGACCTAGTCTGATCTCATAAACGTTCTAACAGCAGCAGACTTTCTAATAAATGGACTACTGCTGCAGCTCTCCAACTATGCTGAAGTACCCTGGGGCACTGAAGGATATTTAAATCTTTCTAGAAAACACAGTGATACTTGGCATTTGTCAAGTACCCTGAAAACTACTTGCTTGCAGTTCCTATCTTCGATACCGCATCACCCTTCATTCCTTTCAATGATGCCCCGCTGGGGGCATCATTGAAGAGCTGGGGTTTTTGGTGGTGGCTGTGATAGAAAGTACCATCAACATCGATGTGGAATAAGACAGGAGGTAGGGTGAGGGGGTCCAGTCTGATTCCAAGGTTTAGAGGTTACACAATACCCCAAAGGGCACACAGCCCATCAACAAGAGTACTTAAGAATGAAATAAAAGTATTATGTTCTTTCAATGTATGAATATTATTTTTCAAACAGCTATTAAATTGTTAGGCTATAAATACTTATCAAGTTGTTTGAAAGTAATTCATTAACAGAGCCCTTAGGTATTTCTTTCGGCCTCGGAGCAAATGTGAAAAAAATGACTAAGACACCAGGGGCGCCAGAAACCAAGAAAATTTGGGAACCTCTGGATCAAATGCTAGAGCACAGTCCTTATCTACAGAATGCCCTGTGTAGGATATTTCTAATTTTAGGATTGCATATGGTAAATAAACCTAGAGTCCACGGATTCATGAGGCATGGTTTCCTGGAACTGTCACCCCTGCTATGCCACTGTATGGGTGTGAGTACAGATACCTCCCAGCCTCCATGCTGCCCGCTGTGTGCAGCGACTGCTCCCTTCTGCCAGGCTCCCCTGAGTCAGAGAGCAGGAGGGACCTGGGGAGCCGTGCCAGCCGTCCCAGGCCTTGCTCTGCCTCACCTGCGCCTTTTCATTCCTTACATCCTCCACATTATTAGTGAAGCTGGATACTGGGTAAGATCTCTGATTTTCGGGAGTGTGCTTCAGTAGGCTGATCCTCAACCTCACCGGTCATCAGGGAAATTCCAGTGAAGACCACGACATTGCTTTATACCACCAGATTAGCAAAACAAATTTTTAAAACCTAACGATACTAAAGTGGTGGTGAGAATATGGAGCAGTAGAAAATCTTGAAAGACTGCTGGCAGGAGTATAAATCAGCACGACCACTTGGGAGAACAATTTATCATCTAGTAGAATTAAATATGTACATATCATACGACACAACAATTCCTCTTTTAGATACATGCTTTGAGAACTTCTTGCACGTGTGTACTAGGTGACATGTACAAGAAGGTTCACAGCTTCATAGTTTATAATAGCAACCCAATGTCCAATGTAGGACAAATGAACTGTGGCATATTTACATAATGGCATACAATAGTGAAAAATTAACAAGAAACAGCTGCTTGCTGTGACATGGATACACTTCACAGATACAATGCTGACCAAAAACTAAGTGAAAGGATACGATTCGAAAACATGTATAATTGAGGGGATGGGTGAGGGGTAGGGAAAAAACCCCAAAACATGTAAAATAAAATATATTGTTATAAACATATATGCCAAAAATCATAAAGAAAAGGAAAAGATTAACACAAAATCCAGGATAATGGCTATAATCTCTGGGGACGAGAGAAAAGGAAGAAAATGGGATTGGGCCCACAAAGTGCTTCTGAGCTTTGGTCAAGCTCTGTTTCTTAAGGTGGGTGGCAGATAGGACAGGTGTTCACGTTAGTGTTAGTCTTTAAAATGTACATACCCGTCTGCGGCCGCCCCGCCCTGACCGCGCCGATCCCGTGCACCCTCGGAAGCTAAAATATACATACCCCTTATGTATACTCTTATACGTATGATACATTTCATGGTTAAAAAACAACAGATTATGGATACATAATACAACTTGGTGTGATCATTGAATGATAGTGATTTTTTGCCAAATTAATATGCATAGAAAAAAAGGATAGAAAGATACATCAAACTGATAACTGTAGTTATCACTGGGTTGTGGTGATCTTTTCCTTTGTGCTTTTTTATGTTACAGCTTTGTGTACTGAGCATCTAGTTTCTGAGGGTGTTTTCCTAAACTGAGTTAATCTGAGTATATCAAGCATAGCCCTCGATCATGCTACCCAGCAGGTCTGCCGGCTTTCCGGCAACAGCTCCATGATCACCTCCCCACATGTGGCACATGTGCTGTACAGGCCTGATTATATAGTCTCTGCTTTGACATGAAATGTAAAACACAGCAAAATTTCTCATATCACAACCAAAAACTACTGGGTTTCCATTTTATCTCTATTCTAACTATATGCCTTTATTGTTTAAAATTCTATTTGTAGTTTTACTTCATTCTTTACTTCTCTTTTGCCAAGGGCATTTCAAAGAAAATTCCTAAAACAGGGCCTGGCATATACAGCAAGCATTCAACAAATATTAGTTTCTTCAATATCACGCTTTGTCGTGAATGAGTTAGCACAACCTTAACCTCTACCGCTTAACACTCACTGAGGAGTCTCCTTCTTGCCCGAATCTGCCCACTTTCAATCTAGATGCTCTAAGGTGTCAAGGGCCGATGGCAACAGGGAAGGAGAGACGCACTTTCCATCATCGTTTCTGCACCTGTCCCCTGCGTTCTCCTCTCTAGCCCCGCTCAACTGTACCTTAGTCGTCTCAAGATACACTAAAGGGTTATTTTACCAAATAAAATACAAATACAGCTGACACGTGCTAAAAGCAAAGCAATGCAAATATTACAAAACACCAAATTCAACAAATATA